TAACCCTGAACCCTGAACCTCAAGGAGGGACATATATTGAAACATCATCCTAACACTGAACGTCAAACTAACACCAACACTCACTCTCAAACACACACTACACTACACAGGGAGTGAAATGCGGAACCCATCGTCCCCAAAATCTAGCTGTAAACCTAATCGCTTGCCAGTCACTACCCATTATATCTAGGCGTAAATGTCAGGACCCGGGAAAGAACCTCAAGGAGGGACATATATTGAAACATCATCCTAACACTGAACGTCAAACTAACACCAACACTCACTCTCAAACACACACTACACTACACAGGGAGTGAAATGCGGAACCCATCGTCCCCAAAATCTAGCTGTAAACCTAATCGCTTGCCAGTCACTACCCATTATATCTAGGCGTAAATGTCAGGACCCGGGAAAAACACATTATTTCCCACCTTCAAAAAATACACTGCCCATCCCACCCCTCTCATATGCAAGCTATCTAGAATGTGAATTCACTCATATTATATCCAGCTAGCATTGTTCAAGTGTGTGAAAAACCACAGTCAATACTATCTAGAAAAAAGTCACTGCCCTCAACATATCTCTCACATCCAAACTGTCTGCTATATGAATTACATCTGTATCATGATCACCAGTCCTAACTCTAACCATAACCCACAGACTGATTCCTAGGTTCCCACATGGCATTATATGAAATCATCCATTGTGGCTAATCTTAAGGGGAAATCTCATGTTGATACTAACTAGGAAAGTCACATCTCAGGTACACAGAAATAAATTCCAAGCTATCACTCACTGGAATCCTAATACTAAGCCTAAAGCTAAGCCTAACACAACAAAAACCTGAGTGTCAGCCCTGGAAACCTAACCCCTTACTCGAAACCCTAAATATAATCCACCTAACCCTAACTCTAACCCTAATGCCAACCCAAACCCAAAATCTAACTGTAAATCTAACCCAAAATTAACTCTAAACCCAACCCTATAGAAAACCCTAAACCTAATGCAATCCTAACCCAAAACCTAACACTAAACCAGAACACTAATACTAACCCCTAACCCTTACACTAACCCACCAAACCCTAATCCTAACCCCAATCCCAAAACTATCGCTAACCGAACCAAATCACACACCGAAAACTATTGCCTGAACGTAACCTTCAAAATCAACCTCACACTTACCCTAAACCTAAACCTGTAACCCTCACACTCACCCTCACCCTCTAACTCACACTCTCAACTTCACCCTCACCCTAACACTAAAATCTTACCCTAGCACCAACCCCAAATTCAACCCCAACCCTAACCCTAACCCAACCCTAAGCCTAACCTTAACCCTGCCCCTACCCCTAACCCTAAACCTAACCCTAACGCTAACCCTATCTTGACTACGCTGTACTGCTTATGGAGTGGTTAGCAATGCATTCCACATATCATCACTCTGCCAGCTATGTAGCAGTCCTCTGAGGACTGGTCAGCCAATAGTGCTCTTGCCCTGGTCCTTTGCGCCACCTGGTGGATGATTTTAGGATTGCTATGTGTGGAAACATGCTTGCCTCAGTGAACTGTCATACAGAGGTCTGGCCAGAATTGCTAAGCATGCAACAAGTCTGCCCTCGGTGCAGCTTATAGGCAGGGCTCCCTTGATGACCATTTGGACACACAGTCAGCACACCCTTGCCCCTGCCTGCTCCTATTGAACAAAGGAGCAGTATCTAGGACCTGAATAAGAAGGCCCTTCCCCTAGAAATCAAATAACAGAAGGTTCGAGCCACCAATAAAGACACTGAGAGCCTTCATTCAATGTTAGCTGCCTCCCAAAGAATGACTAGGACCCCTTAACAGCTGGGACAGTCTTCACTTATAACTCTCTGCATGTCACAGACATAGGGGACTAGTTAGCTGCACAGTGACCCAGCTCTCATGGCTGTCTCCTAAAGGGATATGATTATGGAATATTTTGCAATGCAGCGAGACTGTCCTCAAGCTGGCAGAGAAGCAGCATGCTTGAGAGGGCCAGTCAGACACACCACAAGCCCACGCAGACCAGAATTTAGTACAGTGGAACATTTCAGACTGGTTAGGCATTCAGGGATCAGGAACTCCAAGAAACAACCATACAGAGGACTGGAGAGTCATTGTACAATATGCAGTGAGACTGAACTTGCTGCAGATAGCATTGTACAATATGCAGTGAGCCTGAACTTGCTGCAGCCATGAGCCAATGCCACTATGTGAACTGGTGAGCCATGCATTGAGAATACCCTCTTCCCAGGATCAAATAGGTGAAACATTGGGTTCTACCTAGAATTGCAGACATATCAGAATCATAACAAACTGAAGCAAGAGAGGAGTTCTTAGTCACAGTGTGAAACCACAGTGTGTGAAACTGTGAGGCCCCTGGACTTCAAGCACTGGACTGTTGAGGTACAGTTTGCAACTAAGAGAAATGCAATCACATGACTGGCATGCAGTGAAACATTGAGTACCTTTCCGATGCATTGTGAGAACCACCTGGAGGCATCGTCCTTCCACTGAAACTTTGAGCTGCAGACTAGCACAAAGTCATTTCACTCAAATCCCAGGATACATCAAGCCAACTCTTTAGGAACAAATATTCATGCAGAGTGTTCATGCTCTCCACAGCATGTATACAGTCATCTGAAAAGGAATGGTTATTGAGTCAGTGAGAAAACCTCACTTGGGAGACAACCATTTTGAAAAATGAGCAGGGCATTGCCATGCATTGATACCACCAGCAACACAGCTTGCAAAACGTCCCTAAGTTAACAATGGATTGCCAAGCTCTCAGCCTGAATTCCCACTACCTGCCTCCTCCAAAAGGCCTAGCATGGATTAGCAGCACAGAGAGCTCTCACCCATAGTATTCTGCATGAAGCCCAACATGCTCCATCAAGCCAGCTGAATGATGAGTTCCAGATCATTAAGGGTTGCCTCCAGCAGACCATTTAGGTTCAATTGGTCTCTCAGTGTTCTCAAACGAATCCCAACTTGATGCCAACAATGCAAAAAGGAATAGTTCATGAGTCAGTCAGCCTGCCATCACTTCGGAGTAAAAGCTGTTTAGAAATGAGCATGGCCTAGCCATGAAGTCAGCCAGAGTTGCCAAAGATAGCGAATAGTACACCAATATATAATGGAGATCCATGCAGTGAGCCTGAATTCCCACTGTTTTGACTCCCACAGACCACTGAGGACCTGTTAAAAGCTCAGAAAGCCCTCACTCCTATTGTGCTGCATTCTCCTCATCTTTAGTGGATCTTTAGGCACATTCTGAAAATTGCCTGCCTAGCTTGACTACAGTAGACTGCTTATGGAGTGGTTAGCAATGCCGTCCCCAGGTCATCCCTCTGCTAACTATGGAGCAGTGCTCTGAGGACTGGTCAGCCAACAGTTTTCTTGCTGAGGTCCTGCACACCACCTGCTGAAATTTTTAAGAATAGGTTTGCATGTAAAAATCCTTGTCTCATGGAAAAGTCATACAGAGTTCTGGCGATTAGTGGTAAGCATGCAGCAAGTCTGCCGTCAGTGCAGCTTACAAGCAGGGCTTCCATGAGGAACATGGGGCCACACAGAGAGGACACCCTTGTCCCTACCTGCACCTAGTGAACAAAGGAGCAGGGCTTAGGAACTGAATAACAAGGCCCTTCTCCTGCACAACAAATAGCAGAAGGTTCGAGAAGCCAAAAAAAATTCAGTAAGCCTGCATTCAATCTTAGCTGCCTCCCGCAGAATGACTACGACCCATTAACAGCTGGGAGAGTCATGCCTCATAACTTTCTGAATGTCACAAACTTTTGGGACTTGTTAGCTGCACAGTGGGCCAGCCCTCACAGCTCTCTCCTCCGAGTATATGGTTATGGAATATTTTGCAATGCAGTGAGATTGTGCTCAAGATTGCAGAAAAGCAGCAGGCTTGAGAAGGCCAGTCAGACATACAATGAGCTCACATAGACCAGACTTTCATAAAGTGGAACACTTCAGACTGGTTAGGCATTCAGGGAATAGGCACCCAAACAATCATACAGAGGTGTGGAGAGTCATTGTACAATATGCAGTGAGCCAGAACTTACCACAGCTATAAGCCAGGGCCACTATGGGAATTGCTGAGCCATGCATTGAACTGGCCCTCCTCCCAGAATCAAACAGGTGAAGCATTGGGTTCTACCCAGAATGGCCAACATGGCAGATTCATAACAAAACACTGGCAGGAACAACTTGAGGATCTCCTAGTCACAGTGTAAGACTGCCAGGCCACTGGACCTCAAGCACTAGACTGTTGAGGTACACTTTGCAACTAAGAGACCTGCACTCATATGGCTGGCATGCAGTGTAACATTTAGTACCTGTTAGATGCATTGTGAGAACTCCTGGCATCGTCCTGCTTGCAGTGCAACTTTGAGATGCAGACTAGCAGAAGACAGTTCACTCTCATCCCAGGGTCCATCAAGTAGACTGTTTAGGAACAAGTATTCATAAAGAATACTCATGCTCTCCACAGCATACATACAGCTATCTGAAAAGTAATGGTTATCGAGTCATTTAGAAAACCTCACTTGGGACAGAACCCTGTTGAAAAATGAGCAGGGCATGGTCATGCATTTATACTACCAGTGATGTAGCACACAAAAGGCCCCCAATGGAACAATGGATTGCCAAGCTCTATGCTTGCATTCCCAATACATGCCTCCCACAAAATGCAAACATGGCTTAGCAGCACAGAGAGCCCTCACTTATATCATTCTTCATGAAGCACAACATGCTCCA